TCTTGGGTTTGCTGTGAGGCGCACCCTGTAGGCCGCCCGCCGCTGCGCCCGGACTTAGCAAGCGAGTGCTGCCTGGTTCCGGGACCTCCTTGGCCAGGCCCAGGGGCGAGCCTTGGGTCTTGAGCGCGTCCGCGGCTGCCAGCGGCGATCCCTGGTCCCGAGCGAGGGCGGTGGGCACTGTGGGCGCTCGAGGGGCCTCGGCCTTGTCCTCATCGTCCTCATTGCTCTGGTCACCATCATGCTCGTCGATCTTGTCGATGTCGATGCTTTCCAGATCGATCTCCTCATCATCCTCGGCCTTCTCGGGGTCGCCCTCCGTGTCGCTTCCGAAAAGGGCGCCGTCCTCCTGGTCCTTGCTGCGTGCGCCCCAGGTCACCTTGTTCTCCTTCTTGAGGCGCCGGCGCGCGTTGGCGAACCAGGTGGAGACCTGCGTGAGGGTCATCTTGGTGATGATGGCCAGCATGATCTTCTCGCCCTTGGTGGGGTAGGGGTTCTTGCGGTGCTCGTTGAGCCAGGCCTTGAGAGTGCTGGTGCTCTCACGCGTGGCGTTCTTGGGCCGCCCGGGATCCCCGTACTGGAACTGGCCATAGGGATAATAGGCCGGAGCCGTGTGGGCAGCAAAGGTGGCAGGGTGCACCCCGGGGTTGTCCTTGAGTTCATACTGCGAGCCCTGTGGCCAGGCGGCCAAGTGAGGGGGGAGAGAGAGTAGGGGTGGAGAAAGAGAGAAAGAGAAAGATGAATTCCCAGAACTCAAGGGAAAGTCAGGGGCAGTTGCTCTTGTGCCCTGTCCGCTCTGGAGCAAAAGGCCCCAGTTCACCCCCGAGATGGAAAGGGGTGGGGGTGGGGGGTTAGACCGGGTTGCCTACAGGAACTTCGCTTCCATAGATAGTGGAGAGCTACTCTGTAACCCAAGGAAAGTTCTAGAAGTCTTGCCTCTCTGGAAGGCCACAGTGGGAGCCCCCACCAGACCCTTCTCTGCCCCCACCCCCACCCCCACCACAACTCCAGAAGCCGGATTTCCAAGTTTACCTCACTCTGGCTGGAGGGGAAAACCTTTTAACAAGCCCTATAAAACAGATTCTCCAAACCTGAAGAAGCAACAGCCAATGCCCCCCCACCCTCCATCCCTGAGGGGGTCAAACAAAATAAACCGCTTGGATTTTCTCGGGGCTCAAATCACCCAGCATTTTAAAATGAAAGCAGGGCTCCTTTTTGCTTCCATGTTAATCTGCATATAATGGCTCGCCCATAATTAAAGGTCTACAGTGGTGATTAGTAATTTAAAATTTTAATCCTGGCCATCATGAACAACAATAACAAAAACACCATTTTTTTCAAACACAAAAGAAGGGCTTATCGGTAAAATATTAACGCAACGGCCGCAGTGCCAGCTGAGAGGCGCGGAACCGGTTTCCTGGGCCTCTTTCTCCTACTTTGTCTCTGAAGTTTGACTTTGATCTGCAGCGAGCAACACAAACTGTGTGAAGGCATTTAGAGGCCCTGATTTATTTGCAATCAATATTCTTTTTATCATCAGTAGTAAAACACAGCTAGTCAAATTATCCCATCAGGTTTTTTGGTAAATAACATTTTATCTTTCTAACAACCTCATTAGGCCTCATTATTACCATAAATTGCCTGGATAGATAGTCCACTCACAATTTTATCTTTCAACTTCCAAAGCCCCAGTCGGACAGTTTGGAAGCCTAGGCCAAGCATCTGAGTTTGGGTTTACGCTTCCTTTTCAAGAACCCACAAGAGACCACAAGGAAACACACCTCTTGAGGGGGAATTTCTCTACAGTACCCCCTTAGCAAAAACCAGGCCCCTGCCTTCCCCGTGGCACTACCAGACAAGCAGGTTCTCAACCTAGAGCTTGCTTCCTCCCCCACCAACACAAGGGGGTCCTAAATGACACACATCGGCATTCAAAATTTCTGTAAAAAATTATGATCCTCCACATACAATCATCCAGTTGCTATTCGCAGGAGAGGGTTCCAGACTGAGAAAGTTGTAAAGAGCAGAAGATTTCTTTGAGCAATTAGTTCGGTGGTTTATGCCACAGAGAAAAGGTTTCCTTGGCCAGATTTCGTTTTTGCCTCATCTTTACAAAATGTACTTTGCACGTTTCTAAGGCTTTTGCGTGTGATTGTGAAGAAGACGTTGCGGCCTCTTCTCTGCTGGGAATTCTTTTTGAAAGGATACCTTGTAAATCTCTCATCGCTTGCTCAGTGTCCCGGCTGCCAGAACAAAATGGGAGCAGATCTTTTTCGATAGCCAGCGACCTGAAAGGCAGCTGGGGCCGCCTTCAGAGAAATAGGCTTTCTTTCCAAAACTACAAGAAAAAGTTAGAGGAAAACCCACCACAACTTTGCTCGCTGGCTGGTGGGCATTTATTTCCGCTCTTCTTCAGGGAGTGGGGAGACCTCGTGGTGGGGGTGTCTAAAGAGCTGCCTTATCCCGCCCGCAGCAGCTCAGGAGGGGGCTGCTTCCCTGGCCACCGCGCCCCGCATGCAGATCACCAGCAGCCCAAGTTTCAGCGCAGCCCGACCTTGCATCGGACCAACGAAAACGGACCCAGTGGATCAATAGACTGGCCCGGGCTCGGCAAAGCGCCCGCCCCCACATCTGACACCCACTGGGGCCGAAGACTTAGAGAACACCATTTATTTTAAGCCCAGAGACACTGTTTTCTTTAATCCTCCATTATGTAACCGAGGGAAAAAGTGTTTTTCTTTTGGTGCAAATGAAATGAAAACTTTGGCAACTTACAAAAGTCAAAGCAAACACCATTTTAGACGCCAAAAACATTTCGACTTAATTTTGTCCTCAATCTCAATTTTGCACACACACACCGTTAAGAGATCCCATGGGCCCCACGGCCCGCCCGTCCGATCGCCATTGTTACGTTGGTTTTGACAGCGTCTACCAGACTTTAAACTTGGTTACAACTGTGTGAGCTCTGCCAAAGAAGGAGAAACCACGTCTGGCCGCCCAGCCCAAAGCCGGGCCGGAGGGGACTCCTGGGAAAGCGGGCTGAGCTGCCAGAGCCTCGCCGCCCGCCTGGC